GTTTAAAGCTCAGCAATCAGCAGAATTAGCATTTTTAATATTAAAGGACTAAATTGTTCTTCAGTGAGGATGAAAAACATAGCTGTGTGTTTATACAAGTCAACACAAAACCCCAGAACAGGGCTTTGACATTAATTTATTCTATGACAATGGCTGTGATATTGAACCTTCACATTGTTTTCTCATAAGAAAATTGAGAACATTTAATGATCATGAAAACAGTGTACTTAGCCTAACAGTGTATCTCCTCACATGTGCTATATGCACAGGAGAAATATTTACAGTAAAGCATTTCAGAAGGAGTTTCCAGTTTTATAAACCTTCTGAGGTGGACTTAGTCCCAGAATATTTTAACAAGTCAGTGGTTAAAATATGCTAACATAGTCAAGGAATAGAGGCAAATTGTATCCCTGGCTCTGCCATAAACATGTTCTATCCTGAGCTAAGTCAATTACTCCCTTTACATCACAGTCTCTGCAAACACTGGGCTAGTGAATGCTGCACAGATAGCAGGATGTGTAGGAGCTGAAGGAGAATATCTATTAGTGCTATGATCTCAGAAGGGAGCACCAAAGGGCACCAATATGATTAAACATCAAATAGTCCGATGTTGGTACCATTAGAATTGTTGAGGGATAACTGGGGGAAAAAGATTTCCTGACCATGTGAATTTCTAGGTCTAGTTTTCCCTCATTTCACCTATTCATTTATTTATTTATTCAATAAGTTGAGTATTGTCTACTAGATACCAGATATTGTACTAGGCAGTGGTGAAATGAACTGACATGTTCCCAAACCTCATGATACCTCATAAAAGATGTTTAACGAATATGAATGAATCAGGGCTTTTAATGTATTAGGAGAGCTTATATGATTATACCACATACAATTATAAATTATATTACATGTCTAATTATAACTGCAGAAGAAAAGCAGGGTATTCAGCTAGAAATAACAGTGGGGAACAAACTTGAGTTTGGATGATTAGGGACAGTCTCTCTGAGGAAGTGATATTTAAGCTGTGATATGAATAGTACATATTAATTAAATAGGTAATGTGGGAGAAAGAGCATTCAAGCCAAAGAAAATGCCATTCATGAAGGCTTTGAGTTGGAATTTAATGACACCCTCTAGGAACTGATTGGTGGGTAAAAAGGGTGATGAGCAAGAGAGGAGTATGCCCAGTATTGATCTGAGAGAGTCAGACTCCTGATCTCATAGGGGTTGGGAGGACACATTAAGGTAGAGATTTTCCATTCACAGTACAATAGGAAGCCACTGCAGAATTTTAACTTGAAGTTAGGCTGCTCAGGCTGCTAAAATAAATACGTCCTGTGGACTTGGTGACTTAAACAACATTTATTTCCCACAATACTGCAGACTGAAAATTCTGAGTTCCAGGTGCCAGCATGCTCAGGTTCTGGTGACAGCCCCCTTCCTAGTTTGCTCATATTACAGAAAGAGGAAGCAAGCTCTCTCGGGTCCTGCATCTTCTTACACGGGCACTAATTCCATCGTGAGAGTTTTACCCTCGTGACCTAATTACCTCCATAAGCCCCATCTCCAAATACCATCAGGTTAGACATTAGAGTTTTAATAGATGCATTTGTGTGTGAGGGAAGGTGGGTGTTGGGGAGAGTGTAGCATAAACATGCAGTCTATAGCACACAGAAAGGGAATTTTGCTTGTGTTATAAAAAGGTCAATGTGATTACTGCAGAGAGACTGAGTTGCATGTGAGGCAAGTTCATGCAGGAAGCTAACTGTGGTGGCCCTCACTGCGTGCCCTGCCCAGATGCCCTTTACTGGCTCAGTAGGCCCACCTCCCAGCCACTGTAAGGGTTGGCTGCTAATCATTCGCACCTGACACCTTCTCCAAAAAGTGCCCTGGTTGACCTATGTTGCCTTGCTCCATCATAAGTTCATAAAAGACCAAACTCCTTTCCCTCCAGAATGGGCAATCTGCTGAGTGATCTGTGCTCCAGAGCCCTCCCCAGTGAATCAGGCCAAGATTAGATCACATACGTAATTTTATTTGAGTGCTAGAGGAAGATGTCGGCTTGAAGTGGCTAAAAAGCGAATGGGATGCAAAGAAGTGGAGGTGACAAGGTAAGAAAAGCAGTTAAGTAAAATAATAGAAGCTGAAGGAGAATGTGAAGAAGGAAGGGTTTTATTTGCTGTTTGTTTGCTTTTAAAGCAGATGGTGGCCAAGGCATGTTTGCAGTGGGTGAGACAGCTCTATCCAAAAGGGAGGAGTAAATTCACGTGATATAAAAAGTGTGGCCAAAAAGTAAAGACTTTGAGAAAGAGGGTCAAGCTGGAATCTAGAGAACATGGGGAAGGATTGGCTTATGACAGGAGGAGGGACATTCCTACCACTGTGACAGGAAGGCAGTAGCAGCAGATGCCTGAAATCTAAAGGTGCCTTGATTTGAGCACCATGAGCACATTGGCAGTTGATGGTGTCTACTCTATAATGAAGAAGGATGTAGTTTTCAACTGAAAATAGGAAAGTTTAAAATAATTTCTGTGAAGAATAAGACATGCTGTCACTAAAACCATAGCAGATAACCCAGGAGCAGATCTCCATCTGAAGCTGATCATGAATAGTGACAGCAGAATATCCATGTATGTTGTTTTCTCCATCCATGGCCAACTACATGGTTGCAGGTGTAGAGATGGAAGACCATCAAAGATTTAAGTTTTGCCAGACCAGTTAGAGAGAAACACCAGTTGTGGAAGTTGAGGGTATCTGCAAAGGAATGACTATAATTATAGACACTAGACTCTAAGGTACATATAAAAGAATCCTCAAAAACTGTTAACAGTTGGAATATTTGAGTATTGAAAGTCAAAGAGTAAAGAAAAGGGTAGATGGGAAGAAGGACGTTTGAATTTTGGAGGGTGCAATTTCTGGTAAAGACAGGCCTAAATGTGACCACAGGAGTTGGTCAGTGAAGTCCAAGTCGAGACATAAGAGTGAGATGATTCACTAGCATTGATTTGCTTCGTGCCATTTGGTTTATGCAACTCCAGTACTCTGGGGTCAAACAACATCTGCCAAATGACACGAATCCTCTTTACAAAATGAATTAACCATCATTACATTACAAGGCAATCCAGACGAGTACATTGTACTAAGTGAAACCCAAATGTTTTTCCTGTTTTCCCCTTTGGGGGAATCTACAACTTCACCTCTCCAAAATATTGGCTTCAACAAAGTTCTAAGAACTATTTTGTTGTTGTTGTTCAGGGGTTAATAGTACTAATGTGGCCTTGGACTTCTCGAAGTCAGCATAACTGATCAATCAGCATTTCACTGATTGCCCAATTCCTCCTTCTCTACATAAGAGGGGGAAAAAGCCCTTGCAAAATGTGTTTGTTCTATTTGTAATTCTGGACAAAGCCGATAACGAGTTGCAGCTGCTGAACAGAGTGTACTGCTGCTGAGGCCATTGCTTTAACTTATAGATAGAAGTGCAACAGCCAGAGATGCGCCTGGGGCTGAAGCGGCTGCTGTAAATAGGACAGCACTCTCCAGCTCTAGTATATGCATTTCATTATCCCACAATTTGTTCTGCTGCGAAGACAGTTTGATTGGCCAGGCAAGAGACTCAAAAAGAGAGATTTTTAAATATCATGAGTCAGCTGAAAGAGTGCTGTTTTCTGACCTGAGGAATTCACTTCTGTCAGTCTCAATAAAGATGCATGTAATAGTAGGTGATTCAGACTCTGAAGGTGTGTGTCTCTCCGGACAGAGTGCTCTCCTGATGATGAGAGTCTTGGGGCTATGCTGCGGGCCTCACAATTCCCAGTGCTAAAGCTAGCTGGAGACCCCACCCTGCATCCAACTGAGTTCTGTTCTCTGCCTCTGTCACTAATGATGAGTCAAAAAGATGTAAGGTCAACTAGTTGCCCTTGACCAGTTAATGGGTGTTTAAGCTGAGTTAACTAATGAAATAGCATCATTGTTTATTATTTGTGATATTGTTTTCTGTTTTATCCTAGATTGTTAACTAGCACGTGAGGAAAACAATAGTGGTCAATTTTATGAAGAGTAACCCAAAATAGAGACAGATTTCTGGAAAAAAGAAATAAAATAGTAGGCATCTTATGCTTTGCTGGAAAGGTTCCCAAATTGCCACTTACTATCTATGTGGCCTTAAGCAAGTTGCTCTAACTCTTTGAACCTCCATCTCTTCAGGTATAAAATAAGAATAGGAATCCCTGTTGTGGAGAATTGTTGAGAGGATATAACTGGAATAAGTTATGTAAAATGCCTCACACTGGTGTGTAAAGGATACTCTCAGTCACTCATAGTGTGAGTGTAAATGGGTCCAGTCACTTGGTAGCACAATTTGTCGTTATGGAGTAAAATATATGATGTACAGTGTGCATATCCCATGGCAATTACATTTCTCAGTATGTAACTTAGAGAAATACTAAAACCTGTACAAAATGAGACAGATGTAGACAGATACTCCTTTCAGCAGAAATGAACCAGTGGGAATAATGTTTAAATGTTTTAATGTTCTTTTCTTTTTCAAAATTCTTTATACTGACCTTCACTTCATGCATACCCCATTTGCTCTGTGGTAGTTTAAGATTATTACAGCAGGAATACAAAGAAAGAGAAAAAGTTAGTATTTATTTTATGGCATTCTGAAGGTATTTTTGCAGTAAGACAATAGTCCTGCAAAATAAGATTTGTCCAAGAAGAAAAGATATTTTATAATCTTCAAACTATTGTCGATTTATGAAACCTAGGCTACAACACTTACTAGCTAACATTCTTTCATAACGAAGAGGCCGGCCCTTCTCTTATAATCATTGGACACTGAAGTAGAAAGTAGAAGGAGGAGCTGCCATAGAGGAAGCAGATGGTCCACAGCCCACCACTTGTAGGCCGTGGGGTGGTGGGCAGAAGAATGAAACACAGCGGGAACAGAAGGTCATGTCATGATCCCTTTTTCCCACTTCCATCCCTGGCCCCTCATCCAGGACAATCTTCAAGCAAGTAAAGGCATCATGGATTGGAAATGACAGCAGCAGGCCAGCAGATAAATGAAACTGCGACAGTAATATCGGCCTTCCAGGCCCGGAAACAGAAGACCTGGGATCAACCAAGTCCTCACTGTGGCAACACAGAGGTTCTGAGAGTGCTCGGTAAGTTATGACGCTCAGGATTGGGAAGAAAAGGCCACTGCAAGCAGATCATTTCAGACAAGGAACAAAGAGCTAAGCCAGCAGTACCCTAACGAGCAGGTGGAACACAACACCACACCAAGAGCCAGCACAGAGCGAACCCACTCAGCCCCTCTGCAGCCTTCTGTCAGGACCCAGAGAACCCTCCATTCTCTCCCCTCCCCACCCCTCCCCTCCCTACCACCAATCAGTAAGCCAAAGAATCAGATGCCATCTCCCTGAGGAATAGGGTGGAAACATGGAACTTGGAGAAACTGGGCATCTCCATCAGTCAACCAAGCAGGGACAGAGTTACTGAAGAGTATTTGAATTGCAGCATTGAACTCAAGACAAAGTTTACCAGATTGTTTTTCCACAGGTTAAATTTATCAGATCAGATATATATATATATATATAGTAAATATATATACAATTTGCATATATAATATAACCTATATATAGGTTATAATATAGTATATATTGTATATTATATATAACTGGTCTGATATATTTAACCTACATATGTATAACCTAGGTATATACAACCTATATATATCATATATATGTAATATATAATATAGGCTACATTTTCTTTGAACATTTGAACTTTCTAAGGGCACATGCCAGGATTGCAGGCCAGGTCCCCAGTTGGGGGCGCACAAAAGGCAACCACACATTGATATTTCTCTCTCTCTCTCTCCCCCTTCCCCCTCTCTAGAAATTAATAAATAAAATCTTTAAAAAATGGAGTAGATATCTATATACATAGAATAAGCAAACAACTGACAGAGTTCACTCTTGCATTGACTCTGTCCTTCACATGTGCTAACTTATTTCTTCTTCCAACAATCCCATGAGGCAGGTTCTATTGGTAATTCTCATTTTACATATGAGGACCCTGAGGCATGAAAGCTAAGCTGTCATTTCAAAAGTCCCCTACTAATTAGTGGTGAACCCTAGATAAGGAAGATCTCTAAGGCATACTGGTGAGTAGGAAAGACAATTTACAAAACAATGCATACAGTATAACATTAATAAAAGGCATGTACAAACCAACACTTTTATCTGTAAATGACTGGGAAAAAATTTGAAAGGATATTATCAAATTGGTAATAATATTCTCCTCTAATAGCAGGAAGAGTTTTTCCATAGGAAAGAGTGCTGTCAAAGAACACTTTAACCTTACCCATAATGCTTTAATTTTTCATATTGACAGTACAGCAATGTGCAACTCATGTTGCTCAAAGTTGATAATTATATCATACTAAAGAGGGTAGACTCAGAGTGTGATGAGCCAATAAAAAAATACTTTTTATTGTCTACTTTATCTGAAGTATGCTTGTACTATAAGAAACTATAAGAAAATGCAAGCCTAGGTAGAGGATAATGTTGAAAGTTAATAAATTCACATTGTTCATCCTACCATCCCCACTGGATGTCAATGAACTGATTTTCCATCATGCAATAGTAATTAAATGTGGATCAATGACATTCTCTCAGGAATACCAACAAATGTAAAAATAGTGAATAGAGACGAGAATAAATTAAAATGCATAGCTTTACTTAAATGTAAGAGGAAATCTTATTTTAATATATTGAATAAGTTTAACCAATATAAAATTCTTTTATTGTGATTTTTTTCAAAAAAATAATTGAAACCTGACTCTGGGCTATATTGTACAATCTGTAATATACAGAAGTGGAACATTTCAAATATGGCATTATTATGTATGTGTATAAATAAATATGGAAAGAAATAAGGAGATGTAGGCCCCTATGAAGTCTATAAAGGCCTTTAAAACTTGACTAGCATATTAGGACAAGATAGGAAATCTGAAAATAGCACTTTATTAATTTGGGAGAAAATTTTATTATATAATTTTACAATCTCTACTCTTATTTCAAATCCTGCCACCAACAATCAAAACTAGCTACTACGGAAAAAAAATAACTAATGATGTTTCCCTCCCCCAGGCCAGGAAGATCAAAGCACTCATATTCTATGGGAAGAGACTCCATTGTTCATCACCAGAGAAACCCAGTTAACTAAGAGTTAACCACTTCAGTTTTGATCTTCTACTTGTGTCTATGCAGCAGAGAACCTGGGTATGCATGTAAATCATCGCTTGTTGCTCTAATACAGTACTGTTCTTTCAGCCTGAAAAGATTAGTGGTGTGGAAGAGGAAACACTGCAAGTTTTGTAGGATAGCAGCCTGTTTTAGTTGGTGTGCAAGGCCAGAACAAGCACAAGCACATCGCTTGTCAACAGTATCCGAAAAATCACATCACCACTAGTCCTAAAAGAGTCACCGCTGTCTCATCATTTTCATATAAAAGGACAGACTCTTCAGGGGCATGTGGTAGCTTACTACAAATGATGACAGAAACGCCCACCTTGAAATCAGGGTATCATATCTGATGAAGACTATAAGAGAACAGCAGCTGAATGTAGCTGTGGGACACCCCAGACACCACGCAGGCCTGTCAGGACTCAGCACTTCGGAGGGGCTGGGCAGCAGCTGTGGTTGATGTCATTCACATGCGGCAGGCCTGCCGCCAGAGGAGGAGGCAGCTCCATGCTCCCGTGAACTCACTATCCCGTGCGGAAAATCTGTACTATTGCTTTGCCTATTACCCCAACCAAAGTGAATTAGGCAATTGTCATTCTCTCCTCAACACACAGCAAATGTAAGAAAAGACAGAAAAAATTATTCACATGGAAAGAATTTATGAACTATAGTTGCTTTTTTCTCTTTCCCTTATCACTGGTCATTCTCACCACTCATGGCTTTGAAAATTAAGCCCTTAGCAATGCGCAGTGACTGAACCTGGTGGTGCTTTGAGGAAACAGACATCTGACCTGATCGTCCATCTTCGGACACTATATAATACACCCCCACAGCTTATCAACATTTCAAAGTACAAAAGGTTAAGAAATTCCTATTAAAATGCATCCAATATCATTAAGGAAGACAATGGTGAACTTGTATCTCTCTGGGTTTCTGATGTGTTTGTGAATATGACATAAATTCACCAGACTTTCAACTGCTGATGTTTCTACCCTTTGAAACACACAGTGACATTACCTGTTAATAATATGGGAGTATTTTGCTCTTCGTGTTTCTTTTTCCTGTACTATTTAACTTTAGGAAGTATTCTAAAAAATATTCAAGGTTTCTATTCAGCTACTTGGTCTTATGTTCTTTCTCCCTTAACTTCATGTCCTCTTATTTTGTAAATTAAACTTATTAGGGTGATGTTGGTTCATAAAATGATGTAAGCCTCAAGTGCACAATTCTATGATATATCAACTGTATATTGCATTGTGCGTCCCCCACCCAAAGTCAAATCTTCGTCCATCACTATATATTAGACCCTCTACTATCCCTCACCCTCCCTTCCCTCTGATAACCACCATACTGTTGTCTGTGTCTATGAGTTTTTGTCTTGTTTGTTCATTTGTCACTTTCAGTTTTGTATCCCACATATGAGTGAAAACATATGGTTCTTGACTTTTTCTGTCTGACTTCTTTCTTTTAGCATGATATTCTAAAGATCCACCTATGTTGTTGCAAATGGTAGTAATTCATCTTTTCTTTTCATCTTTTCTGGGTGAGTAGATATAAGATCTCTCAGGCAAATTGAATTACTCTCTGCAAAGGCATTATGACATTTATAATCCCAGTGTTTTTTGGAGACATACTGGCTCATTTTGCATTACCCATGCACTGGACTTATATCTAAAGAGCTACTACTATGTCTAAGCACTATTTAATCAGCATGTACTTATTTTTAAAAACTATTTAGAAAAATACTTGAGTTTATTAGAAACTACAGAACTGGTTTTCTTTCAAACTTAAAATTATATATAGTTATTTTTCATTGCATAAGCATAAAATCCTTTGTGGGAACCTAATTTCCATGGAATGTTTTCAGGATGATTTAGCTAAGTGTGTGTGTAAGAGAGAGAGAGAGAGAGAAAGAGAGATAAGTCTGAAATAAACTCACATTGGAAATGGCAGTATAATGTCAGGTGAGTGAACATAGTTATGATCTCCCCAATTCGGTTTCTCATCTAAAAAGTGAAGATAATAATAGCTCCTCCCTCATCGCACCCACTTCAGGTATTCTACAGATGAGTTAGGGGGGCAAGGGCTCAGTTACACAGACCCTCACCCAATAATGAGCCCTCAGTTAGGGCTCAGTTACACAGACCCTCACCCAATAATGAGAAAGTTTCAGTGCTAAGGAGAACTGAAAAAAGTAAGGGAGGAAAAAGGAAGAAGAACCTGAACTGTTTTTTGAAGTACTTGCAGTCAGAAGAGAAAAGTGCTGTGGCTGGGATAATATATTTGAAATATTAATGGATGCATCTTCTTACCCAGGAGTTTGTGTTTCCTACTCTACCGCTGGATCCACCCACCACATTTCTTTCTCCCAGGAGAGAATAAATACAACAGAGAACCATAATGTCACCCCTCAACTCTGATACTCAAATCTAGCTTTTTCAAAACTTTATTTATTTTATTGTTTACCCTTTTACAGATGCCCCCATTATTTTCTCTCTGTTCCCTCTGGCCATCCCCACACCGTTGTCCATGTCCACGGCTTATGCATGTATGTTTTTGGCTAATCCCTCCACCTTCTATCATCTAGTCTCCCCCTCTCTCCTTCCCTCTGACAGCTGTCAGTCTGTTCTGGGTATCAGGTCCTCTGTTTCTATTTTGTTTGGCAGTTTATTTTGTTCATTACATTCCACATATAAGTGAGACATATGGTATTTGTCTTTCACTGACTAGCTTATTTCACTTAGAATTGAGACAGCATTCTGGAAATCGAGGCTTTCGGGTATTATTGTGAGGAAATGGATTAGTAAGTTTCAATGAGGCAAAACTTAAATGACTCAGCGCCATATTTTTGGTATAAAACTCAGAGCAGAGAGAAAAACATGAGGTTTTCTCAACACGAAAAGTTTGATAAAGCCTTTAATGGGAGGCGGGAAGAAGGAGTCAGGTGAGAGCCTTACAGAGGCTGAGCACATTGTAGCCTCCTGACATGGGTGGATGCCTAACTCACTCTCTACCTACCCACCCACCCCACTATGATTAACACCCCAGAATGGAAAAGCAATGAAAACACCCAGAGCAGAATGCAAATGCTTTGTTTTCAAAGCACAGCCAGGGAACACCACCAGCTCTTAGGCACTCCTGTATTCAGCGTGGCAGTGAAGCATCAGGATACACAAGCCACCGCCATGCCTGGGGGAGGCTCCAGACAAACAAGCCACAGGAAGCCACAGAGTTCACTTTCTACACAGAAAGCAGCCATGAGTTCTTGAGCATGCTCAAAGGGAAACCAGAGAAGTGCTAGGAGGGCCTGTGGCTGAGAGCACCAGAGTCAGGGCACAGGATGTAGAGTCTGCACCTCTAGACCAGCAGCTTGGCCAGGCTCTACTGTATCAACACCAGAAGCTGCACGTGAGGCCCAAGGGCTAGAATAGACCTGCTATACTTCACCAGAAGCCAGCAGGAACCAGAGAAGACCCAAGAAAGAAGACTCTCCTCTCCCCATGCCAGGATAAACTCTAAGTCACACGGGAACTTACATCACCTCTACAGATAATCAAAGAAGGAGCCAGAAGAATAATCTCAGGATTTCAATGAATAAACTACAAGTAACTAAACCAAGTTGAAGCGGCACAAGTAAATATTCTCAGCCAGCTGAGCAAATAGGGACTCAAGCTAAGTTAGGTTCAGTTATGGACAAATAATCATTTCTGTATACCTGAGTTGTAACTGTAAAGTTTTTAACCCACTCTACTGTCTCATCAATTATATATTTCCATGTAAAGCAGATCCACGAGACTTCTTGGAAACTTACTGCCTATTTCTTCTAAGACAGTTTCCAGTTAGCAAAAGCATGTACTCAATGCTGTGTTCAGAGGTCAATAATGGCCGCAGTGGGACAGCCCTAGAAATGTACAAATCCAACCCAGAGCAATAGATACTAATGGCTTTTGGTAGTTGTCACACGTGCGAACAGCCATTTATCTTTCCAAAGTGAGTCTGCATTAATCAGAAGAAAGATGAAGTGATGATGCAAGGCCCCTCCTCCTTCCAAGGTGCCCTTCGTGCCTTTCACAACACAAGTGAAGGGAAACACCTAAGAGAATGGCACATCCATCAGCTGCTGCAGGACTGGCTGTGCACCTGAGCAACATGTGCCTCTGCAGGCAGCTCTTCCACAGAAGCATTTTTACCATTGAAACCTTGCTCATTTCCCCACAGTGAGTTCTAATGCTTCTTTTAAGAAGCTGTATGATAGCAGCAGCCAAATGCTAACTCATCTGAACATGTGACATGAACATCCAACATGGCTCTATTAGTCACAAGGCACTTTGACTAATCAAGGGGCAGCCAACAAAGGACAGATGAAGACACTGCTTTGATTCAACAGGTCACTGTCTGATTAAACTGTGCAGAGGGACTTGTGGCAGTTGGTTTCCCTATTTCCCAATGGCTTTCCTTTGAAGAAGAAGAGGAGCAAAAGATCGTTTTTGATTACTCTGAAATGAACTTATTCCCTGGGGTTTATTAATGAGCCTTTGACTGATCTCCCTTGCTAGACCACTGTCGGGTGCATGATTCCTCAGGGGCCTTCCAGAAATAAATACAGAGACCATCCAAGAAAGCCCCTGACTTGCAAATCTAAGAAATACTCAAAGCGATGTCTTTCTAGAAAATAAGTGAATTTTTACTGTTTTGGAAAGCCAGATACATAGCCTGTGACCACTGTTTCTAACCCTGAGTCTAGACGTGCACAGTTTCAATTGGAGGGTGTACATCTTTGGAGTCTCATCTTCGTGCAGGTGGTAACTGAGAACACAGACTCAGGACCCTGACTGCCTGGTTCAGAAACTGGTTCCACCACTTACTAAGTGCGTGCACTGGAGAAAATTGCCTACTTTCCTCCCCTGTGCCTGAGTTTTCTATCTGTGTAATTGGAAACATGGCACTGCCTGTCTCACAGGGTTACAGTGCAAATCAAATGAGTGATTTTTAGATAGACTGTTTACAACTGGATCTGGCATATAAGGGCCACAGAAGTGTTGGCCACCCTATCAATTGTTGTTATTTTTGCAATCGCAAGACACTCTGCTCGTTAAGTTCCCAGTTTTCTGATCCTCTGACCTAAAAAGCGTTCAGAAACCAAACCCCTTTTAGTCCTTAGGGTCTTCTCTAAGTCAGTAAGACTCCAGCGATTTGAGATTGTGCAGGGCCAATGATGGAAGACTCTGCCCAGCACCACTCCCTGTCCCTAGAGGTCATGCCACTCGCCAGGAAAATCCTACACCTGGAAAGTTACTTTCTTCCCTTCTCAGCCCTGCTTTTCCCTACCTTTCTTAAATTAACTTCATGGGTCACTCACTCTCACTTCAGCTTGATAATAACTGAGATTAGTTTTTGCAGGATTATCTTCTTAAAGACTTGATTAACCAGATAAACTCAGTCAACCACAAAGAGTGTGATCTTTAAGGCTGAGTACTGTATCATATCCAAAAAAAAAATCTTTTCCATTTGGACTGTGAGTCAGGCTTGTAGTCTGGTTAATAGAACTGATTACCAAGTATAAGGTACCATGAATAGGAACTGTTTTATTAGCACTAAACTCACTGGTAAGTACATATTTTTATTTAGAAATAGCTATGTCCTAAACCATAGTTTTAATAAATAACTTCAAAGTAACCTTAATAGAATTCTAAGCATCAAAATATATACCACTACATAAAAATCTAAAGCATCTGGTTATCTTTTTGACCTAGCAAACTTTGAATTAAAAAGCCAGACAACTATTAGCTATTGCTTCTGCACAAGTCACCTTTCTGGTAACCACCCTATTCCTAACAGGAAATAGAGTAAAGACAGAAGACCAACATCTACTTTAGTATTATATAAACTATTTCAAAACAAGAAGGTAATTTAGAAGTTAGGGCTGCTAAGTAGAAAGCCTTCATCTGGTTTTTTATCAGGTTCTCTCTACACTGTTAAGAATAATTTTTAATCTAACACTTTCCAAGGAACACATTCCCCCTTTCAAATGACTCTAGGGTCAAACACTAATTAACCTTTTCTCTTTAAATTTGGTAATGATACAGACCTTGTTGTCTTGTTTTAAAGTTTAAAGCAGTCTTATAACCCTCCAAAATTAATTACACATTTTCCAAAACACCTCACAGTTCTTTCTGATCCGGTTGAAACTAATAAAATGCTTAAACTTTCACCTAAGAGACCCTAAATGAAAACTGTGATGCAGAAATATAGTTTTAATCAGAGACCTAACTAAATAAGACTACCCTCAAAATGTGGATTTTCAGAGTTAACAAAACCCTGCACCCTAGGAAGAGAGCATCACCTGAACCAATCAGAAAGTCTTGCTCTGCTCACTGATTTTCAGGCCTCAGGCTACTAATGAGTATACATCTTTCCTTTAATTAAATAGTAGACGTTATATGCAGAGTCTCCATCTCATGCAGCCTAGAAAGCCATGTGCTGCACAGAGGAACAGAAAAATTGGGTTATAACAACACATTTGTGATTAAACTTTAACATTCAGGACACAATGCACCATGGCTAGAGTTTTACCTCATAGCAAGGTCAAATTAGAATCTTGTTCTCCCAATCTTTTTGGTAGTGGATTATAAACAATTTAAGCAAACCATCTGTTCAAAGAGCATGCTGCTATAAACTCCTCCCCATAAACAGCCTTTTTTCCCCCTGTAGCTCAAAATTACCAGAAATTCTCTAATCTTTTTTGTCTTTTCTCATTCATTAGGCCAAGTAAAACAGCTTGGAGGCATAACCTCCTCAAATTCGAACAAATACTTAAATGCAAAGCTTTGGATTGGATTGCCTTATTAAAATGTTCCCAGTTGATTACTTTTATTGTTCACTCTTTTGGTAGGCATGGAATGATAAGTACCAAAGACATAGAAAGCCTAAAATAACTGGTAAATCAGTGGACAATTGAGAGACTATTACACAACACTAAACAGAAGCCATGGGAGTTAATGGCTGGCACAAGAGTTCTGTCTAAAATTACAAACTGAACATAAAACTATTTGTTCTGCAGAGTTCCAACATTTTTTCCCTGCCTTTGCCCACTGTGGCTAAAATTAATTCCCTGGGGCTTTTCAGCCCAAGGTCATGATCTTCCAACTTGCATGCAAGTCGTTCCTTCTGTCATCATTTCCCTGTATCGAAAGCCAGGAATTATAAGTCAGGTCCTGGGGAGTTTTCAAGCCTTGTGGTTTTATTCAACGGGTGACATGGCAAGAGTTTTCAGGATCTTATTACTGACTTTCTCAAAAATCCATATGTAAGACTTAACCAAGACTAAAGAGCCAAATCGCATTCACTCTCTCATAAACATTTTCCTGATAGTAATTAAGACAGTTGTGCTCCAAGCTTATTGTGCAGGGAATAATTGTTAAAATGCAGGTTCTTGGGACATGCACCAGATCCCCTGAGACTGAACTGTTATACTTGGAACTGGGGAGCTACATTTTTAACAAGCACCTCAGCTAATTCTGAAGTAGCTGGTTGTCAGCTACGTACACACAAGAACTAGATAATGAATGGAGTCTGGGGTAAAAACCAACAGGCAGTACATTTGTGATAGCTCATGAAGATTCTAGAACTTGAATTCTAGATTCGTAACTGCTGATTTTACCATTACCATTCACGACTACTCCCTTAGGTTAAGTTGCATAATCTTCCTCAGCCTGATTCCTCACCTGAAGAATGAAAGTACTAATGTAATACTTTCCTCATTGCACTATTATAATAAGGATGAGTTTACAGCATCAAAATCACTGAGTAAAAGATAGCTACCCTGAATCTGTTGCCCTGCGGTTGAACACACCTCTGAGCAGGCCAGACCAAAAAAAAATTCTTTGTTTCAGTAACTGTCGCATTTATCCTTATGTCTTTCATGTGTGTGCCAAGGAAAACTGTCTTTAAATGGGTGGGAGGAGTGGTCAAAAATGCAGATTCCACAGTGTCACTTCCTGAATTTAAATGTTAATTCCACCACTTATTTAAGCAAATGAATTAACATGCATGCGTCTTGGTATACTCCTCTTTAATCATATAGTGAGTACCTACCTCAAGTAAAATGGTTAACAGAACTCTAGGCAATGATCAATTGTTTTGCTATTATTGCAACATAGGAAAAAAGATCTGATGAAGATGAGCAAACAACTTTATTTTATAGTTGAGAATAGAAGAAAGATGCCAATTATTTTATTAAGTATCAGTGACATTTAGAAAAGCAAATGTTTAACGTTTGCCACAGACATGATTCTAGATCAGAAGAAACTAATTCATTTAAAGAGTTAAAAACTCTGCCGATCAAAAAAATTCATTTTACTTAATAACATAACAGCTCATTTTGTACAGGAACTTAATAATTTTGCCCAAGTTTTAGATAAGTGACCTTATGCTTTTATGCAGGTCACTAAACTGCCTTCAGTATCAACCTTCTTATTGTGGAAATAATTACAAAGTGGTAACCCTTACCAAAATAGAATAGCATTACACTTTTAATAAAAGCTTACAGTCTATAAGTTTTAAAAATTAGAAGCTTAAAATCACTGAAATTCATTATAGAAAACTTGAAATCCATAACAAGAGAAGATTTAGCTGGTGACAAGATCTGAAAATGTTTTTGAGTGAAAATATGTAGTATTATATTGTGTGTGTATCTCAAGTTGAAATAGAATAGAATTGGACTCACATGGAGCAATGAATGGGCAGTAAAATGGGAATAGAATAAATGCAGTTAAGATGAAATCAAATAAAATCTGTATTTTATCCACCCATATCTACCTCTACAATGCTGTCTGTCACTTATTATCTGGGTGTCTAGCCTAGTTGCTACTTCTAAGTGAAGGAAGACGTCTGTCCCCTGCTGCTGCTTGAGGTATTAACTGAGTAGTGAGGAGTAAGCAAACATATTCTGAAATGTTATTTTTCCAGATTTTTTTCTTTGTTGTCAGAATCAAAGGAAAACTCAGATTAAAATGTCTCATTGTTTTCCCTCAAGAAGCTAACGTTTAAGGAATGAGCGTATGTAATGACGCAATAAACCCAACAACCAAGAGGGGGCAGATGACGCAACCCTCCCCTAGACATAGAAGCCGACCGGAGGAAATAAACGATGCAGATGGACTCCAGTTATCAAAAGAGGTAGCCTCTGAAGTAGGTTTATTCGAGCAGAGTCTTATAAAACGAAACTAGAGTTTTGAACTTTTTCCAGAAGAAAGTAGAAATATCTTAGTACTTTGCTCTTTTTTTCTCTAGATTTCCATTCAATGTCACAGTGACTTTTTTTTGCACCTTGTGAGTGTTAAGCAAGACTTAGGAGACTGAAAGATAATTAAGCTATGGTTCCTTTATTTCAGGAAATGAAGAGTCAGAGATACACACAATGAACCAGGGAAGTTATTCTGTTCTCAAGGCTATGCCAGCATCTGACTTTCTTTTCCACTACTCTATTCACTATACCTCCCTTTAAAAAACTCTTAGCTTGAAATTCTAACCATCATGATTAACTCAAATTTGCATAAAGCCAAACAAATAATAATTAATTTCCTTTTACTAGCCCCCAAAAGCCTTCTCCATTCTAAAATTTCTCGTAGCATCACTATTTTCTAAATCACCTGAGGTTGTAAAAGTTAACATTTTCTTTGACTAAACCTTTTCTCTCCTGTTTCATATTCAGTTAGCCACTCTATCTTTCCCAATTTGTTTTGAGGATTTTACCCTATAACATTTCCCCCTCAATACCTAATACTAACTGCACCTTATTTTAGATTCCCTGGACCTATTATAGTTAATAGTAAATAAGATGACAGAGATCTGCTTCCCTCGCACCCATGAACTTGGAACTAAAGAAAGAAGATGGGGAAAGACCAGGGGAAATGGCCTTGGAAGGTTCACCACTGGGATCCCTACAGTTGACCCCATTCCTGAGGCACTATTGTTTCACCCATTCATTCCATAGGCCCATCCATTCCATCTTTTAGCTACCTTGGCATATTTTCTATAAACTACTTTTTAAAAAAACTTACTGATTTCTCTTTCTTGCAACCAGAAAGAAGAACCTTAGCCAATACAAAGGGACATATGACTGAGAGTTAAAGCAACAAATAGTAAGTGGAGAGATAGACCTGAGAGATAGACTGCCTCCCAGGTCTACAACATTTTACTAAAGCTTAATTGGCACTTTTGACATAAAGTAATCATGAATGCCAAGTGGAAGCCAGTGTTAAAACATGTTTAAGGAGGCAAAGCAGCACAGTGTTCATCAGAGAGATGGCAGTCAGGTCACTAAAAAGGTTTCTGCTTTCCTGCTATGGGGTAAAAATGTTTTCTATGATCACGTGGCAACCTAGATAAAATATGCCTCAAAATCATCACTTTATTTTTGCTCCAATTATACGCCCACTAAAAAATCAACTGTGTAAGACTTTGAATCCCCACATACCTCATCACTGGCACCAGGGTGACTTGTGTTGAGGGCGTGAATCTTTAAAGGGACAGCCCCTCTAAATGAACAGTATCTCTATACATTTGGTTACCATGAGTCTGTCACCAAGAGTTGAATTACTTCCAAGAGAGAACCAATAGAATCCAGCTTATGGTACAAAAATATTAAGGAATAAACCTTCACTACCATGAATTAACAAGGGAAATATCAGTCTCTGAGCCCTTGATGCAATCTTGTCCCTGACCGTCACATTCCACTCCCACTCCACTGCATCAAACTTCAACACCCGTACCACTGCCCCTCACCACACCTCCCACAATCCTCTGCTCATTCATTCATTCCCTTCAGTCTTTTTATATCTGTCAAGCACTACATTAGGTAATACAGAGACAAGAGCATAGAATATGAAAATAGCTTATTCATAACTAATACTTTCTCAGTATATGCCAGTGAATATGAGAGAACAAATAGAAGATTCCATTAGAACATGTGTGAGTGTGACTTACCCTAGTCAGGGTTGTCAGGGGACGTTTCTCCGGGGAAATGACATTGAAGCCGAGACCTGGAAGATGGCTCCTGAGACTTCCCGCCAAACCCTCGCTTCTGACACTGATAGACTAATCTTTAAAAAAGTTTTCAACACTTCTCTCATGTTCAAAATCCCTGCTCATTAGGAAAATAATTATAATGTGGAGACTTACCTTTGGGAACCACTGGACTAGGAGATTTCAAAAGGCCCTTATAGCCCTGGCTGGGGTAGCTCAGTGGATTGAGCGTGTGCCTGCAAAGCACATGATCGCAGTTCGATTCCCAGTCAGGGCACACGCCTGGGTTGCCAGCCAGTGCCCAGCAGGGGGACACACGGGAGGCAACCACACACTGATATTTCCCTCCTTCTCTCCTTCCCTTCCTCTCTAAAGATAAATAAATAAAATATATTTTTTAAAAGGCCCTTATAGATGTAACAACGCAATGATTATTTTTCAGTATATACATATTGCTCCTTATTTGTTGGAGTCCTGCAATGAGCTGGATGTCTCTGATATTCTTTTATGCAAGAAAGTGAATTATTCCACTTTGGGACAATAACAAGTTTGTATATGGTTTTATGAACATGAAGAAATGTGTGGAGAAAAACACATCTAGTTACTAACAATGATTTTCTACATGGAGGAAAAAAAGAGGCAGAAATAAAGAACTGAAGATGACTGTCAAATAACTGAAAATATCATGAGTTAATTTTAAGTAAAAATTCACATGTAAATATCCTACCCATACTATTTCTGCAAACCTGTTACATTTGAAAATGGTAACGATTTTGGTCTTTACCAAAAAGAAATGTCACAGATAAATGACAGTATTGACTGATTAGGAGACAAGATTATACCAGTTCGTATCATTGGTTTGTCCTTTTAATTTTAATACTCTGCTTGTAATTAAGTAATGTTTAAGCTTGTGATTTGACTCACTAAAGCTTCTACCGAGCTTCAAAGGCTCTCTTTAATCCAGCTTCACCCTCTCTCTTCAATCATTCCCACATGCATCAACCAAGCATTTTTTATCAGTAACCTTCAGCTTTATGGCTTTTGTGATAAATTCCAGGGTGTGTGGGGAAGGGGGAGAGAGAAATTTCTTGAATTCTGCTGTCTGGCAGACACTGGTGCTAGGTACAGTAAGACCCAACTCAATGTCATCAATAGGGTCTAAAAAACTGTGACCTCAAGTGAAACCATGAATAACAAAACCAATTTTAACATAGGTTACTGTTAGAAATAGGAGTTGACTCCCCATAGCATATTTCTGGTCACAAAACATCACCAAGCTTCTAAATAAAGACTCAAAATACTTTCACTATTTTATAATATTAAATATTAAAATAAATGTGAGCCATACCTATATTTAGAAAGATTAATAAAAACAAGTAAGGTTATTATTTTCCAACCTACTTATTCCAATTCAGAGTCATGGTCACAGGTGGCCAATGCCTCTCCCAGCAACTCAGGGCACCAGGGGAGAGTTCACCCTGGACAGGACACCCTTCTAACATAGGAGACACTCACACCCACCCACACATACTCATAAGGGGACAACTTAAATATGCCAATCGCCTCACGGGCACATCTTTGGGACGAGGGGGAACTGAAGTACCCTGAGACAAGCCATGTAGACATGTGTAGAATGGGCAAACTTGACCAACAGTGAATGGGATAACATTATTTGAGGACCTACTGTACTTCACACTCATAAACCAATCAAATCCTTACAGTAACAAAATGAAGGAATTGTTATCTTTCCCTTTTACAGATAAAAACCTTAGGTTTCTCGAGTTGACAGCACCAAAGGGGCAGAACTTGAGTTTTCACATAGAACATCCTCTATCCACTAAGCTTTGTCCCCTGCCTACCTCTCCCTGTTCATTTCCCATGCGGCCCCAATGAACTCTTCACTCCAGTCATATCAGTCATATCAAACTACTTTAATTCTCTAACACAAGTCACTCTTTCACCCACTCTTCTCTTCCTCTTCCCCCCACTCCCCCTTCTCCACTACCTCCTCCTTCATTCCCTCCTCTCTCTCCCTCTCTCTTCCTCTCTCTCCATGTCTCTGTCTCTTTTTTTCTATCTCTGTCTCTCACTCTTTCTCTCTCTTTCTCTTTCCCTCCTCCCCATTTCACTTCATTTGTTGTACTATTCCTACTCTAACTGTACATTAAGCAATCTCCTATTTGTTCCCTATGACTCAACTCAGTTGTCCTTTCCTTCTGTGACCCATCCATGACATGACATCTTCAATCAGACTCAAGAGCTTCCTCTGTGCTCTCATCATGTCTGTTTTCACACCTTTATCACGACATTTTGTACTGCCATGATTATTTGGTTATTTAGCCACCACCTCACTAACCAACCTTCCTCACCCTGACTGTGAGTCACTGTTGGGCAGAAACTAATAAATTAGTTTTTTCTTCAGTAATTCCACAGCCTCATACAGGCCCTGAGATAGAGCAAAAACTAGATAAATTCATGTTAAATGAAGAAAGCAATGAATTGTTCCCTAGAGTTCAGAACACAAATCAGGGTCATTTAGAGAAGACAGGTGAATGAACAAGACAGAATAAACAGAGTTTGCCCTATGTTCTTAGAAGATAACATAGACTCTCTGATAAATTGGCTTTCTGAGGGAGGTTTTACATCAGAAAAATTAGCTGGAGAGTACAAAGTTTCAGAGAAATTATGTGTATTTATATATACATAGTTTTACATGGTACAGCTATAGAAACTGAAACAACTCCAGGGTGTCCAGCCATCTTGTGATTTTCTTGTCCCTGGTGCAGTACAGAGGGTGGGGCCATAGCAATTTCAACAATGACCCATGTGGACAAGTGACTGATGACAGCTTATTCCTAAAGA